GCGTGTGGGAGGCAGCCAGTTGATGTTTTGCTCTCTCTCTCTCTCTAAAAATCAATAAACTATCCATTTTTTTAAAAATTGATTTCAGGGAGGAAGGGAGAGGGAGAGAGAGAAACACCAGTGATGAGAGAGAATCGTTGATTGGCTGCCTCCTGCACGACCCACACTAAGGGATCAAGCACACAACCCAGGCAGGTGCCCTGACTGGGAATCAAACCGTGACCTCCGGGTTCATAGGTCAATGCTCAACCACTGAGCCAGACCAGCTGAGCTAAAAACTATTCCTTTTTAAAAAAATACAAGCCCATCTATCATGACAGAAAGCAGAATAGTGGTGGCCTGGGTATGGGGTTGGGGGTGCAAGGAGGGATGGATTACAAAGGGGAACTAGGAGACTTCAGGGAATGGTGGCTGAGTTCTTATCTTGATTGTGGTGATTGTTTCATGGGTGTATACATGCGTCAAAAGTCATCAAGTTGTAGCCTGCGATATGTCCACATCAAGTTGTAGCCTATGATCGATAAAGCTGTATCGAGGTATAATGGATAGACACACACACACACACACATAATGGATAGACACACACACACACCTCACTCTGCAGAAGCTCACAGTAGGAAAGTGAGGAAAGGAGGATACTAAAGCAATAATAATAAGCTTGAAAGTAATTAATTTTAGAGGAAGAGATGGGGAAGGGGAGAGCATACCCAGTAGAAAGAACAGGAGAACCAATGGCTTAGGGTCAGGGAAAGTGGATAGGGCTGAAGCCTGGCTCAGAGGAGCTTGAACCCAGCCTGGGTGGTAAGGGTGACGTAGAGAGCTGAACCGGGCAGAATCTTTTCCTTCTCTCTCCTTCTTTCTGTCCCTTGCCTGTCCTCCGACTGCCTGTCTGCCTGTGTCCTGTAGCTGGAACAGTCGCCTCCCCAACACCTCCCCTCCTCTTTCCTACCGAGACCAGATGGTCAGAGAGGGGCCTGGGGCAGAACCCACAGCCTCAGCCCTCACCTTGTGGCCTCCCACAGGAAGGGGCCCTCGACCTTCTGAAGAAGCTGAACAGCTGTCAGATGTCCATCCAGCTACTCCAGGTGGGGTGGGGGTGGAAAGCTTTGGGGACAGTGCTGGGGCGGGTGGGGGGTATCCATCTGGGGGGAAGACCTCTAAGGGTGGGGTCTGGGGGCAATTTCTGAGGAGAGGGCTGGGGGATCTTGAGGTGCTCTGAGGGTGGGGACTGGGCATTTAGCTGGGCACAGGAGACCTTCCAAGCACAGGGGCCCTCTGGGTCTGGGAGAAAGACTGAGGTATTTTCCTTGAATACCCCAATTCCCAAGGCCCTGGGCTTGTGGCATACAAGAGGCCAATGATCCAGTGAAGAGACCCCCCATTTTTTGATCCTCCCTGTGGCCCATATAGCCCCCAAACATTCCCCGATGCTCTTGGCCCTGAAAAAGAATCAGCACAGACCCAAGCTGTAGTAGCCAGGGCTATATCGTAAGGTGAAACTTGAGCTCAAAGATATGCCTCCTCCACACCTGGGGACTGGGAATGGGGAGGGGTCCTCGTCAGCCAGACCCACCACCACCACCACCACCTCAGCTTTCCACCAAAGCTATCCATCAGTGCAGGGTCTGAGCCTGGGGCACTGGCCCTCACCAAGGATGGCAGGTCAGGGCCTCAGTTATAGGGTCAGGGTTATCTCAGGCACAGGTCAGGCTGAGGGAGGGTGTGGTTGAACTGGGGCAGGTCTTTTCAGGTAGGGCAGCCAATCCTGTGTGTCCATTCCCAGACCAGTCCCTAACCCTGTTGCTTTTCAGACAACCAGGATTGGAGTCGCCGTTAATGGGGTCCGGAAGTACTGCTCAGACAAAGAGGTGGTGTCTTTGGCCAAAGTCCTCATCAAAAAATGGAAGCGGCTGCTGGGTGAGAGGGGGGTTTTCTCCCAGCCCCTGTGACAGGACTATGCTTGGCTCATAGCAGGCACTCAGTGTGTGCTTGTTGAATGACTTAATAAATGACAGATGGTCTCCAGTGGGGAGGGCCCATGTTTGTCTACTCAAGTGCGAGATTTATAGATGTGTAAGTTTTCATGTACATGTGTGTATTTCATTTGCCTGTGTGTTTGAACATGTCTATAGAGAGATATTTGTATAAACATGTGCATAGGTGTGTGTGCAGATGTCTTTCTGTCCCCGTGGTGAGAGCGTGAATTTGCACACATATGTGCATATTGTAGGTACATCCTATATAATGGTCGTCACATAACGAAGGACCAAATAATGACTGGATCACGGATCAGCAGGAGGGTGGGGCAGCGAGCTACAAGTGGGCGGTGGAGAGCTGCAGGAGGGGGCAGGGCAGCAAGCTATGGGGGGGGGGGGGGGGCTGGGAACCGGGGGAGGGGGGAGGGG